TCGTCGAGGGTGAAAAGCGTCGACACCGGATCCTATGGATCCGCTTACTAGAGCAGGGGCTCGCCCCACATGGACGAGCCACTGCCCACCGACATCAGGGCCAGGGACGACTCCCCGCCGGCCCCAAGCGCCGCCGACCCTTCTCGCCATGACGTCCCCGCCAGGAGGCCCCCTCCGGTGATGGAAGGGGTTAGCGGTGCGGACGCCAACTTCTCTCCCAGCACCATGACTCCCGGGGACCCCTCGGCCACATCCCCCTCCATCCGACCCACGCCAGGCACCGTCGCTTGGGCCACCGATGGCACGGATCGCGCTGGTGCCTTAGGCGCCGCTGCGGTCGCGCCCGGCTGCGACCCGTCTATCATGGCCGCCGCCACCTCCACCTACGTTGGTAGGGTCACAACCGGCTGTGTCGCGCCCGCCACGGTCGGCGCCACGAGCGCGGGCGGTAGCCCTGTCCGCCCCGCCATTAGCAGCGGTTTCGCGGCCATCACCGGCTGCTCCACAACCTCCAAGGGCGCCCCTTGAGCGCCCGCGTCCGCTCGTCTCACCGAGGGCATGGGCGCCACCATAGGCGGCGCCCAACCGGCCGACGATGCGGTCACACTGGTGCCCCTCCCGCCCGAAATGGGCGCGACACCAGCCGACGGCTGCTACCTCGATTGGAGGGTGATGCTCTTCTTCGGCGCCAGCGCCAAAGGATTCCGCTACCTACCGACGCTGCAAGGGACAAAAAAATAAGTCATGATGAAATCTGACTAAAACAGGAAAAACAGAGGAACTGATAACTCACCTCAGCACCATTGGGCGGCAGATGCGTTTGGGGGGCGAACCCTCGACCCTCGCTCTGCCTCATTAGGACGAGGCTATTTTGAGCCCGCCCCCTGCTCCTGGGTAGAGGGGCTCGCTCCCCTTGGCTCATGAGGCACAACGGCAGAGCCGCCCGCCTCTACTGGCTCCTAGGGTAGGCCAACGGTATGCCCTGCCTCCATCGGTTCCTAGAGGGCGCCGATGGTACTGCCAGCATCTGCCAGCTCCCCTGACGTGCCCTCCCCTCCATGGAACGGGAAGGGTCCCGATGCCTACAAGGATGAACCAACGCCTGTCAGCACATCCTCATTCTCAAGGTTGTCCCACTCGATATCATCGACTACCGTCTCTTCTCCCTCCATCACCTCATCGTCATCACCGTCGTCATAATCATCATCGTCGTCAGTGTCCTCCCCTCGTTCCCGCGCCTACAACTTCCGCTGCTTCTTCCTCTTCTTGTCCTCCTTCACCTTCCTCAGCCGCTCGCCCTCGGTGCGATTCACCGTCCTCACGGCAGAATCCCTCGGCAGCGGCGTCGGGTGGTCCATGAGGATGAGATCCCTCGGCTGGTCCCGCCCCTCTCAAAGTTAGCATCACGGGGTCAGGAAATTAATTGAAGAGAAGGCAACAGAAAGGGAAACTTACAAAGACGACGTAGCCTCGCTCCGGCTGCATCGAAGGAAGCCTCGACACCAGGTAGACAAAGTTGAGGGCGGCACCCGCGTCATCCCACAAAGGCTCCATCGCCTCCTTGATGCGTTGCGTGATCTCAGAGTTGGGGAGCGTTCCCTCGGCGAGCGCCGTTCCGTCGAACGATGCCTCAGGCGCCATCACGTATAGTGGGAGCACGCGCATCATCAACGGCGCCACCCTCCTTGCGTGGTAAGCCCCGATAACGCCCAACCTCTTCAGGCCGTTCTCCTTTAGGATGTGGATGGCGGCGATGTGGTCTTAGATCTTCTTCATGTCCTTCTCCAGGACGCCCCACTTCCTCCACTGCTCTAGGGCCTCTTCAATCAGGCGTTCGGTGAACTTCGCCAGAGGGGCGACAGCGTCATTCTTGTGGTGCAACCACTGTGAGTGCCACCCCGTGTTGGAAGTCGAGATACTCACCGACCCAACTGTTCCAAAGTTGGATGCCGGCACACCCCATCGACATGTGCGGCTCTTGCCTGCCGCTTTTCTCCCTCTTCTTCTAGAGGTTGATGGTGAAGAAATGCCTTCACAAGTCAAAGTGGGGGCTGATCCCTAGGAATCCCTCGCACAGCGCGATGAACGACGCCATGTGCTGGATCTGGTTGGGATTGAGATGCTGCAGCTCAATCTTGTAATAGTGCAGTAGCCCCGAAAGAATTTGTGGGCGGGGGTCGCAAGTCCACGCTCGTGAACGTGGGCGAACGACACCAGATAACTGTCGGGCAGTGACGGCAAATCCTCATCGCTGGGCAGCAACTACTCCTTAGCCGAGGTCCGTGCGTAGAGAAGACCACGACGGACGAGGCCCTCCATCTGCTGGAAGGTGATATCGGAACGGCACCACGGATCCATTGAAGGTGGGGGCGGATGGATGCGGGCTCAACGGCGACGGAGATGCGGAGGTAGGAAACCTAAGCAATGGCGGCGGCGGCATGGCTGCAGAGGCAAGGATGCAACGTATGGAACCCAAAGGGCTAACCCTTTGGTTTTATAGGGGCGACGGGTGCGAGGAAACCAACTGCCCGCCAAGATCTCCACACCTGTCGTGACCTGTCACCATGTCTCGCCGTGGGGCGTGCGCACGCAACCTATGGCCATCCCCTCGAAAAACTCGCCGGACGTTTTGCCTCCCCGAACGGGCCACGACCCATCGCGGGTAAGAGAGATATGGAGCTAAAAACACTCCTACGGCCCGTCTAGGCCTAGGAGTTCGAAGGTTGGCCCGAGAACTATATGGATTGATCACTGAGAAACTAGAGTCGGTAACCAGCTAACCCAAGCCGGATCCCCATGAACGGGATCTCGGGGCCCCACCTAGACCAGCCCGTTAGCAGCTCACCGAGCACCATAATTCGTCCATAGAGGAAAACCATGGAATGGCTCAACCCCTCCGTTTTTATTAGAAAAAACGCTTGAGGGAAGACGATCACAAAGATGAGCCAACCATCGACCGAACCCCTGCTATGGGCGAGGGCTCGAGAAAAGTTGGACTCGAACGGAGACCGAACACACGGTCATAGAACGACAGACCCCCGTAGGGGTCGAAATCAGGAAAAGACCTTTTCCGACCCACCAAATCTCACGGCTATACCCCTGAGGGGTCCAATCACGACGAAAGGGAATCACCATCCCCAGGTCACGCCATGAGCGATAAAAGAAGGCCAAGGCCCTCAGAGTCCTCCCATTCGGAAAAGCCTCCGAAGGAGTATTCTACTCCTCCGCAGGCTCGGGGGCTACTGTCGGGGACCAATACTAGGGTACCCGAAGAGGAGGAGCTAATGACCATCAACATTGATTCATCCGAGTAGTCAAGAGCGCGACTACAGCTCCAATCGACCCTCAGGCGCGCAAGCTTCACCTCGCCCGACCTCTGGGGGCGGGCTCCGCCTCGCCCGACCCTTGGGTCCGTGCTCCGCCTCGCCCGACCCTGAGGCCACGGGCTCTGCCTCGCCCGACCCTTGGGTTTGCGCTCCGCCTCGCCTGACCTATGGGGGCGGGCTCCACCTCGCCCGACCCTTGGGTTCGTGCTCTGCCTCGCCTGACCTTTAGGGGCGGGCTCCGTCTCACCCGACGGAGACCCATACCACCGCCAACCACTCCAGGTCCAAGCGTATGGGCCTGGGTCAAAACTCCGGCACCAAGGAAGAGACCGGCACGCCCCGACGTAACCCGTGGCCACGACAGGCCATACCTAAGGATTCACATCGGGAACAACATCGGACGTACTGGTGTTGTTCTGCCTAACCTCCGTACGGACGCTGACAGGGGCGTCAGCTCACCACGACGTCCGCTGCGACGGAATGGAATGCCATGACCGGCAGACGACGCTTGCGCATGGCGCCAGTGATGGATAGGGCCGTGACGTGGAGCTGTCCCTGTTGACATCTACAGGGTCGGTGGGGCCCGCATGAAGGATAAGAAGGATCCGACGATCCTGAAGGACTCCTTCTCTCTCTTGTTCTTCTCTTTTCCTCTGCTATAACCCGTGCTTTTCCTTGGCCTATAAAAGAGAAAGCAGGGCATCCCATGAAGGGGACCCAATCTGACCCCGAACCAATCAGATCCAGATACACACAAGAGCAGTAACCAAGCTCTCAGCACCCTTTCACTCTTTTTACTAGAGACTTGGGACATGTCCATCTCTCGCCTGTTTGTAACCCCTACTACAAACTTTCAGTGCTAGTAACACGAGCAACAGCGACGAACTGGACGTAGGGACTTTCTGCCCGAACCAGTATAAACCTCGTGTCCTCTAAGCACACTATTCGAGCCAAACGCGCAATACTAAAAATTTACTCGTCGGTGGTAACTTGAAACACCAACAGAAATGTAATACAACGGCAAGTCTTGTTTTGTTGTACTTCTCTCGTTCTAAACTATAGGTTATAGTTATGCTTACCTTTGCCACAAGTAAGACTTCTCTAAGCTTACTTTAACTTAGTTTATCATCAACATCTACGGTAACAAATTGGTTTCATTAGTTTTTTTCCACGAAATATGTGTTTACATTCATGCTAATAATTTTTGTTGACGCAAAGATCGGTAACACACCAGCTAAGGCTAGATTGTTCGGGTCGCCATGGACCGAAGAACGCAGCGAGGATCACAGCTACTGGTGAAGAACGACTAGTTTTCGGGCAAACTAGCAAAGGAACTATCGAAGCTCTCGTCCGGCAGGGACCTCGTCGGGGCAAGGACATCGTCGGGTTGCCTAGGTCAGCCAATAAGCCTAGAGCGTCATTCTTGTCGGATCATGCAATGAACAGCAACATGGGGTTGGGATAGAGATTATGGCAAAAAGAGATAGGAGTAGATTGATTTTTAATCGATTGTATATGTTAGGCACCTCAATCGGCCTCATAGTATGATATGATATTCTTGACATTATTAAGCTATTACAATGGACTTAAAACCTCATCTTTTGATAATAATAATAAAGAAACCAAATAGTATGATATGATATTCTTGAAATTATTAAAACTAATACAATGGACTTAAATATTTTCTGGGCGAAGGAGGAAATCAACTAAGTCGAGAGCATCGCGAGGACCATTGACTCCAATCTCATCCTTCACGTCTCTTGCGCGATCGCCATCCCACGCGTAAGTTCGCTTCCAAATCACTAGAAGTGTTGAGAGCTTTCCCCAATGGACAACACGTTTTGCCTGTGTTTGGGTGATGAAGGTCTGCTGCTGCCACTTGTGAGATGAGCTGAATGTACCACGGATCGCTGGAAACCGCGCGGCTTCTGCAATCATCACCACAAACCGGACCAGCGCTTGCTTGACTTGTGCTTCGGTGGTTGTGTCGAAGTGGTCGCAGCTTGCAAGTATCTTGACGGCTTCTATGGCAGACTGTTTCCCTAGTGGAACTGTGGGAAGGTTCAGGTGACCGCCAACCAGATCGTAGTTTGACTCCGTGAACGGCATTGTGATGGCTCCAGGTAATCCACCAAATCCAGTAAGGATGTACCAATGTCCAGTGCTGTTCCTGAAGCCAAGAAGGTACAGATCATCATTGGCTATCGCTAGCGTAGTCTTGTCTTCTGTTGCTGCCCCGGTGACATGGACCATAATCCATCCCAATGGCGTGCCGTAGAACTCGGGGCGCCGCGGCCCAAGAACATATCTGCCTTGCACATTTGGTGGCACATATTCCGGATTACTCGGCTGCCTCAGCTGCCTTCGTAGCTTCGTCCACAAATCATCATATGTTTGAGTAGATAGCTCAAAGTAAAGATGCACAGACGACGGAGCTGCTTGTGCTTGGGCCACCAGGTGCACAAAAAAGCAGGCTAGAGAAACAAGGAAAAAGGACTGCGAATTCATGGTGCTGCTGATGAAACAATCCTTGATCGCATTGATTGTTTTGTGTATATTCGTTTTTCAAAAAAAATGCTTGTATGTAGTATTTATAGTAGTACAGAAGTATAGATCCAAGGACCATGATCTGACATTCGTCGAGTCCATGTACGTTCCTGATCTCTCGAAACGACATTCGTCGAGTCCTTGTACGGTACTCCTACTGTAACACTCCTATATTTTCAACGAGATTCTACTCTATCTCCCACATTTTCTGGATCCGTGCGCATGCGGCGAGTCGTTTTCTCCTTATTCCTCCTATATCTTTTCAACCCGACGATCAAGAATTGGTGGTGAAGGTTATCTATGCTGTTTGGATCTCGACATGAATAATCTAAACTGCTTTTTCGTGATCGTGATATAATAAAACTCAAAGGCTGCTGCTCGATCTATGCCTCTCCGTTTTTTTCGCACCTGAATTGAAAGAGTCGCTCGTCCACGAATCGCCGCTCGCGTTTCTGGGTCTGCGCCATCCGCTAGCGCCGCTTTCCCGACCGAGGACCGCCGCACCGGCCGTCCGCCCGGCCAGATCTTGGTGAGCCCAGTTCCAGCCTCCTCCTCGGCTCCTTGCTAATTATCATGGAATTTCTCACCATAATCACCATCTTTGTTTTCCTAACATCTTTGCCCCCCAACAATCTATCCCTTCAGTACGTGGTTCTCCTATCCCGTCGTAGCAGGTATCGCAGGCCGGAACACCGGGGAGCAGAGGCGGAGTGTGGCACACTACGTACAGCAGCAACAGCAGCCCAAGTGCACAGGTCCAATTAAGGTATACAAATCCGATCCTAATGATTGATGTAGAATGTAGGTGCAGGCAATAAATAAAGGGTTAAGTCCAATTTACATCCTCCAACTTGCAGCAAAGTTCAGATTTCAACCTCGAACCTCAAAACCGGACAACTTTGGCCCTCCAACTCTCGAAAAAGTTCAACTTTCAACCTTCTGGGCGGTTTTGTGGGTGAACAGTAACTTTGATATTTTCGGGAGCGCCGAAATTTTATATTATTTTTCCGAGCATCTTAACGTCCTTAAATGAAAAAATAATTTTTATATGTCGGATGACAAAATTGTTTCACGCGTGATGAGACTCAAATTTCAAAAAATAGAAAACCCTTCAATACGATGTCGGATGAAGATAATTTTTATATGTAAATTGTAGACCTCGATGAGATCTACAACTTTGTAGTTTTGAGTTTTTTCATTTGAGGACAGTAAGATGCTCGAAAAAATAATATAAAATTTCAGCACCATATTTTATCGCGTGATGAGACTCAAATTTCAAAAAATAGAAAACCCTTCAATACGATGTCGGATGAAGTTAATTTTTATATGTAAATTGTAGACCTCGATGAGATCTACAACTTTGTAGTTTTGAGTTTTTTCATTTGAGGACGTTAAGATGCTCGAAAAAAATAATATAAAATTTCGACGCTTCCGAAAATATCAAAAGTTACTGTTCACCTACAAAACCGTCCGAAGGTTGAAAGTTGAACTTTTTCGAGAGTTGAAGGGCCAAAGTTGTCCGGTTTTGAAGTTCGATGTTGAAATCCGAACTTTTCTGCAAGTTGGAGGGTGTAAATTGGACTTAACCCATAAATAAATAGGAATTAAGGGTTTATGGCTCGATTATATATAGTATTATTCATGATGAATTATGTATAATCTGGTAACAGATCAGATCGTGATTGATGGACCTGCTCCCAGACGGCGTGCTCACCGACATCTTGCGCCGCCTCGCGCCGTGCAGCCTTGCCGCGTCACGATGCGTCCGCAAGTCCTGGTGCACCATCATCGACGCCATGCGCTTGCTGCGAACCGATCTCCTCCCTCTCCGCCTTGATGGCTTCTTCTGTCTCGACAATATCCTCGATCCTCCGCCATATTTCTTCTCACGCAACAGATCAACAGCAGGCCGCCACCGGCGGATCCGCGGCAGGCTCGACTTCCTGGGCACGCCCTTGGATCTGCACATCGTGGATCACTGCAATGGCCTGCTCCTGCTTGACCATGGGCGGGTGGTTAACCCTGCCACGCGACAGTGGGTGCGCCTGCCTCCCTCTCCTGACCCATCCGTTGTGATGGAGGACTTTTTCCAGGGCCATTGCCTTGTGTATGATCCCGTCGTGTCACCCCACTACGAGGTCGTGCTGATACACTTGCTTCCTCGAGTACTTGGCCCTAACAATGAATTTAGGGCGGACTCGGAATGGCCGTTGTCGCCGTACACGACGCACGTCTTCTCGTCAAGGAGTTGGAGGTGGGAAGAGAGGTCCTTCGTCCGCCAAGGGGTGGCGGCAGGGACCATTGCCGACAAGCTCCCCGAAAGCCAACTGTTCGAACGCCACTCTGTCTATCTCCGGGGAAAACTCTACGTTCACTGCGAAAACCATACTGTCATGAGGTATCCATCCCATTCGCTCTGTTATTTTTATTTCCTACTGAATGTAGTCTTGATACACCATTTACATATACTTCCTCCATACTCAAAAATGAAGTCGTTTTGGACAAGGCTTAGATCAAACATTAGGGATATAAATCATGAATAACTTTTAAGTTGTTGAGTTTGGAAATGTGAAAACCATATGTATAGATTTGTCTTGAAAAATACTTTCACAAAAATTTACATATATCACTTTTTGATAAGTATCTTTATAAAAAATAAGTAGTCAAAGTTATGCTTTGGAGACCGTGTCGCTTTCCAAAATGACTTCATTTTTTAGTATGGAGAGAGTACTAAACATAGTCACATTCCATGTTCCCTTTTCCTTGATCCCATCTTATTTTGCAGGATAACTTTGTCGAATGACAAGTTCCGAGTGATTAAATGCCCCACGGTGAGTGAAATGACTGGTGTTGGTGTTCTTTCCTTGGGTAAATCAGAGAAAGGGGTGTACTCTGGACTATCTTGGAACGATGGTTGCCCACGATTTCGAGTGTGGTTTCTTAACGAACCATGCGAGCAGATGGAGTGGGTGTTGAAGAGCGACATCAGCCTTCAAGCAGTGGCACAAAATTTCCCCTTAATTAAGCAATCACAACATTTACAGCAGTTGGGCCGTCACCTCTAAATCTAGTGAGCATGCGGAGGGAGCGGGGGCACGAGCGGAATTTGAATGGGACTCGGACGATGGTGTTGTTCTTGAAACCAAAGATGGTGATGATGATGGAACATACTACCACCGACAAACATCTTTCCTCGGATTTCATCCTTACAAAGAGATTGCCTTCTTTTGGGTATCATGGTCGAGAGTGGTATCTTATCACTTGACCAACTCAAACGTTCAATACCTAGGCATATTAAACACACATTCCGTATGTAAGTCATTTCCATACACATCCTGCTGGGTGGGGGAGTTACGTGAAAACAATTCACTACGGGAGAGACAAAATTCCCCGAGTGTCGCTGGCTTCCCCGAGTGCCAAAAATCAGGCACTCGGAGAAGAATTGCACTCGGGGAAGAGAGGCTTTCCCGAGTGCCGCTGAGATCCTGGCACTATGTAAAGAGCAGCACTCGGCAAAGGCCCTCTTCTCCGAGTGCAACACTCGGGGAAGATCGGCACTCGGCAAATAACCATGTTACTTGACGGTCCACTCCGCCCACGCCGTTAAATTTTTTTTTTAAAAAAAATTCTTCCCCGAGTGCCTTCCCTGGCACTCGGGGAAGAGGCCCTTTCCCGAGTGCCAGGACAGGACACTCGGGGCCTCTTCCCCGAGTGCCAGGGAAGGCACTCGGGGAAGAATTTTTGTTTTTTTTGTTTTTTCTGCCTCATTTTTTTTGTGAGGCCTTCCCACATTATTTAAAACTCCCTATTCAAATTTGGGACAATTTTAACTTTTTTTTGTTATATTTCGTTAGTTTTTTTCGTTTCGTTGAATTTTTTTGCAGACTTCGAATTTGAACTGCAGGTGCATGAAATAATGAAATTTAGTGATTCAAAAAATTATATTAATGATATTTGGTGTATGTTGAGGCCTTATCCAGGAACTCGCATGAAATTTCGAGCATCTTGTTGACGTAACACGACGAACAACTTGCGGGAAAAGTGTTTTTAAATTATATAAAATCCGAACGAAGTCCGAAAATCACGAAACTTGTCTGGGCGTCGTGTTATCGCATGTAGAGGCTATGATAAAAAATCGAGAAGGTTTCGAGCAAGTTGCGACGTCGGATGCCTAAAACCCAGACATCTCCGCATGCCTCTACACGTGATCACATGCGGAGATGTCCCGTTCTGGTTGTCGGCCATCGCGCCGTTTATGTGTTGACGGCCTTCGTGCCAGAATTGTGGATGTGTGGGCCATCGTGCCCCAAATGTGGACGTCAGCCATCGTGCCGACGGTTTTTCTTGCAGGTTATCGAAACCTCCCCGTCCAGGCACCGTGTTCCTCGCCTCTTTATACTATTTTGTTTCTGCTTGCAAGCACCGAGGACGTCCTCATTCTGCTTATTATTGATGCTTGGCCGATGAGGACCTGCACACTTCTGAGCAATCTCCTGTCCTATACCTCTCAACTTTTCTTTGTCATCTCTAGCTTCAAAACCACTTGTTTGTTTAATTATATCCCAGCACATATTGTTCGTCAAGGGTAATATCTTGTATGGTTGAAGGTTTGTACATATTCTCTCTGCAACACTCTCACTTCGTGTTGTTACTAAAATAATTATATTGCTATCATCATGATATAGCATATCCTTCAAGTCCATCAACAGGAACTGATTATCCTCCCAAAGGTCATCTAAAACAATTATAATCTTCTTACCAGGAAGTAGCTTTGTGAGGGAACTATGTACCACATGTCTTTCATTAGCCTGATTCTCTTTTTTAGATAGTTGTGAAATAATAGGCTCATGAATTTTATTCAAGTCAAATCTTTGTGACACATGGACCCATGCTTTAGAGTAACATTTGAACTTTGGATCATTATGAATCAATCTTACAAAAGTTGTCTTGCCAATGCCTCC